ATTTATAAAACTCAGATTCCAGGTGGTCAACAAACATTAAGTTCTCCCAATCCTAGTATTCTATGTGATGTACATCTAACATGCCAAAAATGCTGGTGAACGATTTGAACCTGACAAAAATACTTGAAATAGATACCAGGAAGGGGAGGGGGGTAAAAGAAAGTTATATAACATTTTATTATTCAATAATTTATTAAAATACATAAGTTTGTCCAACTCCCTGTGATACAACACCTCAGACATAGCTCATTGTACTCGGCTTGAGTGTGGGCAAAAAGTTACTATTTGAATTTTTGATATCTTTTTTCATTAATGAGAAAGTTGACCCCGAAGTTAGAGTAACTGTTCAGCAGGAATGGCTTTTTAACTCTTCTGTGATTTTTTTTTGGCTTGGTTGATTTTGTTCATACTTGACAGGCAGGTCGTACCATCACTAATTGGAAAAACAATCCTGACCCACCGCTACCATGGCAACAGCCAAAGTCTTGTAATAGCAGTGCCCAAATGATCATGCCTTTTATTTTGGCTACGTTGCGCACTGGTAAGAGATCACCGGCGCCGACATTGTTACCACTGTCAACGTAATCCCAACGCAGCTTTGAACTTTGAATAAAATGTAGATGCTGCCTCCAATCTAGAAAATACTATCGCAAAACGGTTGGAAATAATACATTTAACGGCTGAATACGTCCTAACAATAAAATAAAGTGACTTCTAATGACTGCCATGTTATTTTGCGAACCTCGTATAAGGTGCCCGGTTCTTAGTTATAAACAGACGTTAGCCTCACGTTCATGTCCCTTCCATGATAACGGCCGAAAACATATTGCTTGTTTTTTACCGGTTTTCATTGGCAACCGAAGTATTTTTATTCTTGTAAACAAATTTTCGTCTGCTATTTTTATTCAGTTCAAATCGTTCAGCAACATTTTTGGCATATTAGGTGTACATCACATGAAATACTACGATTGAGAGCAACTTGATGTATGTTGACTGATTTTTATCATAGTACGAAGTACCAGGAAGTTACTCAGTTCCAAATAAAGATTACCAACGTCAAAATGACATTTCCTGGTAATCAAGATTTATGTAATCCATGGCTAACAAGCAACATCACAAG